CGTCCTGTGCCTCGCGGCGGCGGCCCCGTGCTTGGACGGCCGCGGCGGCTGCTAGGTGGTTAGCGCGGATACTAAGGGGTTAGAGGATTTAGTATGTACGTACAAGTGAGTTGTAAGTAGGTTATAAGTGTTGTAAGTCGGATGTAAGTTGTATCACCAGCTACAACTGGTTAGTAGGAGATACTAACCACTTATAGCTGGAGGCTAACCTTGCTAAGTCTCTAGTAGAGGTTAGCTCGCTAAGTCCCCACTCTAGCTACCACTTGCTAACCACTTAGTAACCACTTAGCTGCCACTTAGTAACCACCCAGTAACCACTTACTAACCACTTAGTAACCACATAGTAAGTCCGCTAGCTAGCTTACTTACTAAGTGGTTAGCGGACTTACTAAGTGGTTAGCGGACTCTGAGAAGGAGAAGGAGGAGGAAGAGGAGGAGGAGGAGGAGGAGGAGGAGGAAGAGGAGGGGGAGAGAGGAGGAGGAGGAGAAGGAGGAGGAGGAGGAGGAGAAGGAGGAGGAGATGTCGAGGAGGAGGAGGAGTAGGAGGAGGACGGGGAGGAGGATGAGGAGGAGGAGGAAAGGGGGAGGCGGCGGCGGAGGCGGCGACGGGCGCGCCTCAGCCCAAGACGGCCGCTCGACGCGGCGGCCCTGCAGGGCCGCCGCGTCGAGCGGCAGCCTGGCGCGGCTGAGCGCGGCGCAGGCGAAGTTCGCCTGCGCCGCGCTCTGCGCCGCCATCTCCAGCGGCATTGCCGCTGGCGCGGGCGGCGGGGGGGGCCCCGCGCGCCGCTCGGCAGCCAGAGCGGCCCACCGCACGTAGCCGTCGTCCACAACCCAGAGGGTTGGGGGACGACGACGTGCGACGGGCCGATGGCTGCCGAGCCCGTCCCACCCCTCGGGGATGTCGAGGAGGATCCCCGACATCCCCGAGGGGTCCTCCGAGAGGAGACTGCCCCATGGCTCGGGGTCGCCATCGAAAAACATGTCTTGACATGTTTTTCGATGGCGATCCCGAGCCGCGAAGCAAAGGGAAAAGGGAGGGCGCGCTCCCCGCGCGGCCTGTAAGCCGCACGCGCGCGGGCGGCGTCTCCTCCTCCTCCCTCCTTCTATCCTCCTCCTCCTCCTCCTCCATGATTAGGTGGCGCAAGCGTGATGTTTCCATTCCGATGGGGGCGGGCGTAGTGAAGCCGGACGGGTGGAGCAGATTGGAGGGCAACGAGCGAACGGGGAGGATGAGCATGTCAGGTAGCACATCTTGTGGTACGGAGCTCGCCCCGCCGATTCCCGTCTCTGCTCTATGCTCTCTCTCTCTCTCTCTCTCTCTCTCTCTCTCTCTCTCTCGCCCGTCGCTCCTGCTGTCTCCAATCGCGGTCCTGTCCGTAACTGTTTAGGCTCTGGCTCGCCGGTGTCGCACAGGTGCTCAAGTCATCAGCGAGGGCCTCGTTGCAGAGCCGTGGGGTAAAGAAGCATCCAGCCTCTTAGCCGAGAAAGGAATCCTCCTCCGTCTGTACTTTGAACCGGCCTTCAGCTACGGCGAGTGCAGTATACACCCGCGATTCCGTTTCGATTCGTGGTTCCATGTACCTTATCTTCTCGTCTCTTCTCGGTTCTCACTTGGAAGCTACGCTACATGGGTGAAGAGGTGCGATGGCCCGATCCAGACCTCCAGGGACGTCGGCGAGCTGATGTCTTGGGCCCCGTCGGTCCGTTGGTGGGAAGTCCAGGGCCGGACGCCGTACCAGTCGTTGTGGAGTGGGCATGGCAGCGTGTCGTGGACCTTGACACGTCCGCTCTCATGGCGGCGATCGCCGCACTTATGGGTGCGTTGTGTCCTCCTGGAATGCCATGGGGACGCAGCTCGCCATACATCGCCGAACTCCTTCTCCAACTGTTTATCGCGCTCAGTGTTGCACGGCTTCGTTGGGCGATGAGGCATCCTCGCCCACCCAGATGGTCATGCCGGGTTCTACGCTTGATGGATCCAGGTGTGGCCGCGGCAATCTTGCAGCAGGGTTCGCCAATCGAGCTTCTCTGGCGGCGTCTGGCATCCGGCGAAGGCCCAGACGAGGCTGGGGTCGCGTATGCACTCTGGGGTAAAACTGGTTTATATTTAGGGAAAGCTCGTCTTCAAAGACAACGTGGTCCAGGACTGCAGGGGCGCCTTGTCGAGCATCTTCGCATGCTGATCCGCCCGGGCTCTACAACTGTGGGTTCTCGGCCACGGTATGTGATGTTGCGCAGGAGTCTGGCGTCAGTCTGTTTTCTGCCTCTGGTCATTCGTTGCTCGCTGGTGGCCTGCACGGCGGCGGAGACACTGCTTATTCGCATGGCGGCTCCACGGTGCAACGCGGTGGAGGCGAGGGTCGCCGCTCGACGCAGAGGTCTTCCTCAACGCGTTCGGCCTCGATCCCAACCGCGCCGCCGACCATTTCCTCGGTTCAGAACGCGTTCTCCTCCGACATCAAGTGTGTGGGAGTCGCCGATCACGCAGCGGGTCTCTGCGACTCGACGGGATAAACTTCTTAATGCTGGAACCGCGTTTGCGTGGATCCCGTTCTCGCGTCTGCACGTGGAGCTCGTGCGGGAGTGCGTGGCCCGCACGGGACAGCATGGTCCTCTTAACCTGTTCCAGGAAGGGTATGAACTGTTGTTCTTGGCGTACCTCTCGGCGAGACGACCGCCAGTTTCACTGCCGACAGGCTGGCGGCGCTGGGAGTCCGCTGATTACCTGTACGCGTGTGCGTGCCTGCTTGAGAAGATTTGCCCGGGAAATTCGATCCGCCTTGCAGTGCGTTCGCAGATCGACAAGCATTTGCGGTCTCTTAATTGCCCGCCTCTCCGGGTTCCTCCTTTGACGATTGAGCACGGTGCATCTCGGTTCCTGGGGCCCCTGAGGAAAGTGATATCGCGAGCTTTGCTTTCAGTTCGCTGTGTCCCGGCCCGGAGGTGGCTGCAGCGATCGTTTTCGGTTGCCACCGGTCGAGCGCCGCTGTGGCAAGACAAATTCAATGCTAACGGGTCGCTTCGTAACATGATTGCAGGTGACTTTGCGAACTTCTCATGGGGAGCTCTTGGCACGGCGGCTGACGCGCCGTCCTTGAAGGCTGCGGGAGGAGATTGGCGTTTGCCGGTCTGGCCGACAGCGAGGCGCATTCGTGGACACCTCCGGTTGCGGATGAACGCGTGGACCCAGCAGGCGAGGCTTCCTCCTCGCGCTGCCAAGCGCGCCCGTGGAGGCGTGCATGCAGCGATCAGTCGCGTCGGGTGTCCGTCTCCGCCGTCCCAGTGGCAAGCGATCGAACGCAGCATGGAGGAGGCATGTTCCAGCGGGAACCTCATTCTCGGCGACGATAGGGATAAGAACAAAGCGTGGACAGCCAAGCCACCAGAAGTCTTCTTACACCTCTTGCAGGCGTTACTGCGGGACCCAGCGTGGGAGCTCACGAAATTGTCAGGGCATGATGTCGAAGTGTTCTTGTGGGCTCGTTCGCAATGGGGCCTGCCGCAGTTCCTCCGCCGACAGCGCCAGTCGCCGGTCCGAGCGGTACCATCGATGTTCCCGTTAGTAAAATCAAAATGTTTCGACGATCATGGCGTGAGAAGATGCACGAAACCTTTGCATTCCTGTTGGAGGCGCGTGATTGATACGTCGAGGACTCCATTTCAGAGCTCGTGGCGATGCGTGGCCCGTGGCGCACGGGCCGTCGTCGAGTTCTCGCAGCTGTCCCAGGAGGTATTCAGCCTTCGGGATGTTCGCGGCGCCTTGAACGGGCTCTTCGGCGGCTTGGAGCGCCCGCCAGAATGCCACTGCTTGCGTTGTGGTGTTCCGCTGCACGGCCGCGTGTCACTAGTAGTCCTGGATGTTGACCAAGCGTTTGAGGCTTGTTGTACATCGAAAGTGTTACCTGCATGGAGGGTGTTCGCTGCATCATATCAGTCGGCTGTCGGCGAGCGCATTCTGGTGGGGAGGGGCCAAAAGAACGAAGTCAGCACGGCACAGTCTGGATATGGTCACAGGTGGTGGGCGTTTTCCTTATTGGAATGGCGCGGGCCCTATTCGCCTTTTCTTTGGCGTCGTACGTCTGTCTGGGGACGACGGTATTCGCTTGTTCGGGCATGCCCATCGGAGGCGTGCTCAGCACCGTCTGCGTCGCAATCGTGCTCGGGCATCAGGAGTTCCAGTTTTTGCAGGACCACGCCAAGCACAGCAGACTTGGCTTCAATTTCTCGGGTTGGCCGGTCAAGTCTTGCATCTCGTGGCGCCGGTATGTCGATGACATCCTGGCGGCAAGCCGGTGTTGGTGTTGTTCATGCATCATTGCCTTCGTCCAGGAGTCGTTCCAGGAGGCTCTATCCGTTGCTAGCCGTTCCGATGCCCCTGGCTGCAGCGTCCTGTGGGTGGATGTCGAATTGCGGGCAGTAGGGCAAGAAGTGTTGGTACTTCCCAAGAATGTGAATCGGCAGCGTTTGCATCGACTCGGCGACCCCCTCGACGGGCCGCTTCAAGTCTCGTCGCCGTTTGTTCCCTGGCCAGGTCGCCCGCCGAGGAGCTTCGCGTGTCTGCGAGGTATCATTGCAGGTCGTCTGGCACGTTGTGAGCAGTTGGGAATTGGCAAAGAGTTTACCACCATTTATCTTATCGAATCTTTCCTTGAGCTCCACATCCTCTCCTACCCCGTTAGCATCATTCGGGCTCTGGTGCACAGTCTGCCGAAGGCGCACCCTGCGGTCCACGAGTGCTGCAAGACACTGCACGTCTGGTTCACTGCCCGCGCCATGGATCGGCGCGACGAGCGCGGGCACGGGCGCCCGCCTGCGTCCAGGCAGCCATATGGCGGGCGCGGCGCCGCCGGTGGGCGGCAGCATCAGCATCGCGATGGACGCTCAGGCCGTGCAGAGGGCCGGGAGGACCGGCGCGGGCAGTGGGACAGGGAGCCCCGCCGCCGCCGTCGCTCTCGCACTTTGTCGTCGTCGTCCGAGGGGTCCCGGGAGAGGCGCGAGAGGAGGAGGATCGCCAAGGCGAAGTCGGTCCTGCGGGCGGCTTCGCCCGGTTACCAGAAGTACGTGGAGGACAAAGAGCGCCAGGAGCGGGACCGCGCCGTGCAGGAGCAAGGGAAACTGCTGGCGGAGGCGCTCGCGGGCAAGTTCGAGGAGGCCGTCAAGGCCGCAATCCCCGCCCCGGTCTTCCAGCAGGCGCCGCCGGGCCAACCTTCGGCGGCAGCTGGCGGTGCCGGTGGCAGAGATGGCTCCGTCACGCCAGTTGCGTTTCTGTCTATGGACAAGTTGGGCTGGCTGGAGGCAGAGCTCCAGCACAAGATCAAGCTCAAGAGCGGCGAGGAGGAAAAGTTCGTCGCAGCCATCCTCGCCAAGATGGGCGACAAGACGGTGGTGCAGGCCACCGCGAACATCTTCAAGCGCCACTTCCCGACCATCCAGGTGCCGCGCTCCAAGGACGCGCGCGCGCGGCTGCTGTTCTCGCAGGTCGGCCACATGAGCTGAGCCCCTACCCAGGCAGAGTCCGACACATCGTCGGATGAGGAGGTGACCACAGGCAAGGAATCCAGGGTTCGTGTTCCGCCTGCTGCTGCTGCTGCTCCTTCTTCTCTTCCGGCGCGTGCCCTTCACCAGTCAGGAGGCGTTGCCTTCTCTGTCAGATTTGTCGTCGTCGTCGTGTGCTGCGTGGCCGCCGCTGGTTTCATACTCGGCATCTCGTGCACGGATTCGGAGAATCCGTTGCTGTACCAGTTGACGGCGTACGTCAAAGCACACACGGTGCATTGGCGCGAGGCTCGCCTGCTGGAGGAGATCGGAAAAAGCGTAGGTTTCCCCATTACGCTCACAAGCGCTGCTGAGTTTAACTTCGCCACTGCATCCACTTTCGGCGCATTGGCGACGTGGGTTCGCATGCGGCGGCGCCCGAATCTCCAATTGCAGGTCTAATGTGCGACTTTCGTGCGGGGAGGCTGCGCGCGTGACGACTGTGCAACTGTACAGTCGGATTTACTGCAACCTTGGCACGCGGGTTGGCCCGAAAATGCGTTTCAAGATGCTTGGGATGAGCATCGCCGAATTCTTCACTGCTGCGTCTGTCGGCCTTGGAGGATGGGTGCCATGTATCCGCACGGGGTTGCTTCATGTGTTTTCTCAAAAGTTACGTGTGGGGACTGGTAGAGAAGATGCGGCATGGCACTCAACCCTACCGTAGAGGCTCGCGCCGGAGGGCGAATCCAGGAGGGCGGCCAGTTTTCGCAAATTCCTGTTGTGAGTGTGGGGAGCAGGATTTGTCCACCTCTTTCTCCTCTCCCTAGCTTTCTTCTTCCCCCCCCCCCCCCACTCCCGCCTTCCCCCTCCTGGCCGGCGCCGCGCGCAGTCTTCGCAATCGTACACCCGGGGGTAGTTCCATTCTCTTGCGGCTGCCATGGGATCCGAGGCATGCCAGTTCATCTCCATCCCGCTCTTCCTCCACCTCCGCCTCGTCCTCTCCGTCTTCCTCATTCGAGCGCCCGCTGGGCGCCAGGTCCATGATTAGGTGGCGCAAGCGTGATGTTTCCATTCCGATGGGGGCGGGCGTAGTGAAGCCGGACGGGTGGAGCAGATTGGAGGGCAACGAGCGAACGAGGAGGATGAGCATGTCAGGTAGCACATCTTGTGGTACGGAGCTCGCCCCGCCGATTCCCGTCTCTGCTCTATGCTCTCTCTCTCTCTCTCTCTCTCTCTCGCCCGTCGCCCCTGCTGTCTCCAATCGCGGTCCTGTCCGTAACTGTTTAGGCTCTGGCTCGCCGGTGTCGCGCAGGTGCTCAAGTCATCAGCGAGGGCCTCGTTGCAGAGCCGTGGGGTAAAGAAGCATCCAGCCTCTTAGCCGAGAAAGGAATCCCTCTCCTCCTCCTCCTCCTCCTCCTCCTCCTCCTCCTCCTCCTCCTCCTCTCCGCCTCCTCCTCTCGCCCTCCTCCTCTCGTCATCATCATATACTCCTCCCTCGTCCTCCTCCTCCTCATCCTCCTCCTCGTCCTCCTAACCCTCCGCTCCTCCCTCGTCCTCCTCCTCCCCCCATCCCCTCCTCATCCTCCTCCTCCTCCTCCTCCTCCTCCTGGCTCCTCTCTCCTCCTCCTCCTTCCTCCTCCCTCCTCCTCCTCCTCCTCCTCCTCCTCCTCCCTCCTCGTCCTCCTCCTCCCCCCCCCCCCCCTCCTCCCCATCCTCCTCTCGCTCTGAGCTATCTCGTCGTTTTCCTCCTCCTCATGCTCCTCCTCCTCCTCCTCCTCCTCCTCCTCCTCCTCCTCCTCCTCCTCCCCCTCCCCCTCCTCCACCCTCCCCCCCTCGTCAGAGGAGGGGGGGGAGAGGAGAAGGGGGAGGGGGAGCAAGATGAAGAGGAGGAGCAGCAGTAGGAGCAGGAGGAGGAGGGGGAGAAGGGGGAGGATGCGGGGAAGGAGGAGTTTGAACGACCGCACCACTGATCAACGACATTAGCGCTGCAGCGCAAGTGGAGGAGGAGGAACGAGGCGGAGCAGAGGAATCGGCGACCACGCACTGTTCAGGTGCTGCAGCACCGAAGTGTCAATGAAAAAGGCGCGCTACAGCGCAATGCAAAAGGGATCCACGTTTTCAAGGCGGAGAAGAGGAGTCGTCGACCATGCAACGTTCAGGTGTTGCAGCACCGAAGCATTTAGCAATGTAAAAAAGTGCGCTGCAGCGCCAGTAAGGAATCCACGTTTTAGGCTAAAGCGCACCACCGCGGCTGCGACCATATCGGGCGCGCCGCTCGGACGCCGCCGCCCTCGCGCGGCGCCCATGCGAGCGAGCACGCGATGCTCGCCGTGCGCGCCCAAAAGGCGTCGGCATCGCCGCCAAGCGCGTGCGCGGAGGCGCGCGGGTGCAGCTTCTCCTTGAAGAAGTATGGCAGGACCAAGCTCAAGCCATAGTAGTGGCCGTTCTTGGTGAAGGAGAGGTGTTTCAACACCTCGGCCGCAATGCGTTCCCCTCCTCCGTCCTCCAACAGCGCGACGTCGCCGTATTTGACGACGTGGTAGCGGCGCCGCGCTGCAGCGGACGTGACAAAGTCCGCAGGCCCGAACTGCTGCAGCAGTTCGCGCGAGATGGCCTTGGACGGCCTGGTGGCGTTAACCAGGCAGTTAACCTTAAAGGTGTCGCCATCCATGAGCTGCCACAGGTGCCGCTCGGTGACGCTCTTCAGGACATTGGCGCCCCAGCCGCTGGAGGCTGCAGCCCCCGCCTGAAGAGCGTTCGCAAAGCGCTTGCTGGTCTTGTGCTTGCGCTCCAAAACCCCGCACGACGGCAGCGCCACATGGCCCCGACGCCTCACGTAGTTGGCGAAGTGGCGCAGGTAATGGAACTTCTGCGCCATCGTTTCCTTGCCAAAGGCGCTGCTGTATGACGGCAAAAACCTGTTGACCGCAGCCTGCAGCTTATCCGCGTCTGCCTGACGCCTGGATACTCGTAGGATTTCTTCCACAACGATCGTGTGCGCCTCGAACACCGCGCAAGCCGATCGGACTGCAGGCGCTGCAGCGTCGCTAGCCACCTCCCTGAAGAAACACGTCAATCCGCCCGCGCGAACGCATGTCCGAACAAGAGGGGTGCAGTACATATCCTACAGAAATTCACGTGCGCTGCAGCGCATGTATTATTGGTCTGGCGGGGGCGCGAAGCATGCAATGATACTTGCATGGTTGTGAGCCCCTCGCTGGCGGTACACTTGAAATGCTTGCTGTCAACGTGGGACCTCGCGCGCTTCTCGCCGAAGATCGCGCACGTGTCGGGGGAGATGGAGTGGCGCCCTGGAAACGACCAGTCCTGGAAATATGCGTCTGCGCGCGCCCAGTAACCCTTCAACCTTCGAAACATTTGGAACACCAGAATGTTATATGTACCGTTGACGAAAATACAATGCATCCAATCAAACATGACTGTCTCGAGCGGCTTGAGTTTCCGAACCCGCTCAGGCAAATGGGGGTCCCAGTTCCAGCCAAGTCGGCGCTCCAACTCCTGGAACTCGCCCTTGTTCATGATGTTGACCCCTTCGATCAATCTGTTGCAGATGGCATCGAGCAACGGCGCCGTCATCGGCTGCAGCCGCGACGCATCTGGTTCCGAGTGGTGAACAGCGACACCCGTCGCATCAGAAGCAACTATATCCCGAACTTCGCCCTTCAAGAACACGTTGCGGCACGTAAAACATGGTTTGATTCCTGACGAACCTTTCATTCCGATCAAGCGGTGTATTGCATCCTCGTCCGCGATCCGACAGAGCCGCTGCAGCGACGCAAGAAGGCGTAATGGATATATACATGTGCACATGTATGCTAACTAATCTTGGGTGCTATGCGGCGACCGCTGCAGCGGCTGAATGTAAATTCCGAGGTCCATCTGGATGAGCTCCGTCGCGCCGTCGGGGCGCAGCCGCAAGCTGATGCCTGCGCTGAAGTTGCGCCCCTGATCAGGCCAGAACTGCGCGAGGATTGCGTCCAGTAGCATCGTCAGTCCGCGCGGCTGGATGTCGTTCGCGGTCTTGGCCCGCATCGTCGCGAGCTGGAACCACGCATCCTGCGAACAAATCGCAGCACAACTGGCGCTGCAGCGCCTCTCTCTCTCTCTCTCTCTCTCTCTCTCTCTCTCTATCTCTCTCTCTACCCCCCTCCCCCCCCCCCGCATATATCGTTGCTGCAGCAACGCTATCGCGAAAGTCCTCCGACGAAAGCGCCTGCGGGCCGAATTCCGCGATCGCCCAGTAGATGCCCCAGGACTTGCGGTTCTGCACGTGCGCCAGCGCGTTGCCAGCGCCTATTTCATCGCCGTAAATGCTGATGTGCCACGGGCGTGGCAGCTCCAGCGCCCGCTGCCACAGAGGCTGCATCGCGGGGAGGGCGCTGCAATACCACCGCATTGCTGCTGGACTGCAGATCTCCACCGTGTGCTGCCCGACTATCATGTTCTGGTGGAGCTTGCCGCACGGCGTGTTCTCACCGACCATGAGCTCCCGAGCGTCTCTGATATCCTGGCGTCGGGATCCCAATTCGGGGATTCCGTCTCGCTTAACGGACGCCAGGAATTGCGCCATCGCATTACAATGCATGAATGGCAGTTCCGCGCGAAGGCGGGACAGCCGCCGCAGCTTCGCTGGGCGGTCGTCCTCTGCCGCCATCGCGCGCGTTCCCGAGGCAAGCTTGCCTCCGTCGCTGCGCGCGCGCGGAGGGGCCCCTCCGCTAGGGGCCACGGCGACTACGGATGGAAATGAGGCTGCGCCGCGTGGAGAGCAACCAAATGCGCGCTGCAGCGCTAACTGCCAAGCAACAGTCTGGGAGCACATGGCGCTACAGCGCCGCTAACGTTCAATGATGACAATCTGACGCGCTGCAGCGCGAACGTCCTCCTCCTCCTCCATCCTGCTCGCCATCCCCCTCGTCCTCCTCCTCTTCCTCCCCCTCCTATACCTCCTCCTCCTCCTATTCCTCCTCCTCCCCCTCCTCCTCCTCCGCCTCATGCGCCCCCCCATCCCCCCCATCCTCCTCCTCAACCTACCCATCCTCCTCATCATCCGTCTCCCGTCCCTTCGTCCTCCCCGTCACCATCACCTTCATCGTCAACAGCATCAATATCACTCGCCCTCATCATCCGCCACATCACCATCCAACGAGAAACTGCACGCGAAACTGCGCTGCAGCGCAACACATTAACACATCATGATCCGCGCGCAAACTTTCAACCGTGGTCCACGGAGAAGCGCTGCAGCGCAACTCAAACAACACGCTCAACCACGTTCCCTCCAGCCTTTACCAATCAATCGAACCAGCATGCTTCAGCAGGCGGTCGCCGAGGCCGACCTCACTCAGGTCACCTTCATCTTCTTGGCGTTCCGCAGCGAGGTCAACGCCTCGTTGAGTTTCTGGTTGGCCACGTCCGAAGCGGCGATGTCCATCTGACCCCGACCCTGCTACTCATACTCCTCATCCTCCCACATCATCGCCTTCCACCTCCTCCTGATCATCCCCCCTGTCGTCCTTCTCCCCCGCTGCAGCGGGGGAGTGGCCTGCCACACTCATGAACCCCACCGTCCTCCTTCTCGTCCGCCTCCTCATCCACCTGCAGCTCCGCGGTGCGGATCTGCACCTGCTTCTCCGCTTTCCTGGCGTTCTTCCGCGCCTCCTTCACCTCTGCTGTAGCAGTCGCCGTCGCTCTCGCGCGGGCCTCGCGCAACTCGTCGCGACGGTCGGCGCGCCCTTGCGCTTCGAACGGCTTGTCGCAGCGGCGCGCCGCCACTGCGAGCCCAGCGAGGAGGCGGAGGATGTCCGTTGCCAGCACCCGCTGCAGCGAACGATGGCGACTGCGACGCGCGAGCCAAGTGAGGAGGGGAGGAGGAGGAGGGGGAGGAGGGCATGCCATCGGCAACGCGCAACATGAGCGAATCACAGCGCTGCAGCGCGTGACTTGGCAACAACCATGCGGGAGACAACGCTCGACATCACGAATGATGGCGCTGCAGCGCGTATCGACGTGGAACGACTGGCACTCAAGACGAGCACGTCACGCAATGCATGGACACCGCGGTTGCAACTGCACACTCACAAACGCGCCAACGCTACAACGGCACCACAAGTCTGACAGGCGCTGCAGCGCTGCATCGGAACACAACAGCACGCAATATCTACTCCACCATCCAGGAAAGCGAGCGCTGCAGCGCTGCATCGTGATCATGATGGCGATGCAAACGTTGAACACAAAGGCGCCAGCGCTGCAGCGCCCGCATCCAAGAGAACCCGCCAACACATTTGACTTTCATCCTCCTCGTCGTCCGTGCGAGCCGCGCGACCGCCAGGCAAGACCATCGCCACTACCGTTCATATCATCGGCCAGCGTTCCATCCAACCTCGCACTAATCCTCACCATCCTCCTCATTCCTTCTCCTCCACATGCTCATCCTCCTCATCATCCTACCCATCCTCCTCCTCGCCCTCATAATCCTCATCCTCACCTCCATATGCCGACAGTGCCCGTTGCGCGCTCACGGCTTGCCGCGACGGCCAGTGAAGTTCGGGTCGCGGCACGTGCCGCAGCCATTCGGCAGGTAGCGGCATTTGCTGCGCCCGAGTGCCATTTGGCCCCGTTTGGCTGCCGCCTTGCCCTTGGGCTTGGCCTTGGCCTTGGCTTTGGCCTTCCCTTTGCCCTTGGCCTTCGGTTTGGCCGTGCCCTTGGCCGCCGTCTTGCCCTTGCCAGCGCCTGTCTTGCTCTTGCCCTTGATCGCGCTCTTGCCCTTGCCCTTCTTGCCCTTGCCCTTGCCCTTGCCCTTGCGAGGCAGCTCGCCTTTCGCGCTGCCCGCAGCCAAGGTCTCGATCGCCTGCAGCACAGCATCCTCGTCTCCGTCTGCTGCTGCAGCAGCATCTTCGTTTGGCGGCGTTGGCGCTGCTGCAGCAGCATCTGGCGCCGCCGCTGGCAATGCTGGCCCAGCTGGCGAATCACCAATCGCGGGGGGACTCGCGGGGGGGCTCGCCGTGGGCGCCGCAGGGCGGCGCGGGAAGAGCTGCAGCTGCAGCCCGTTGGGCGGCGATGGCGGTGGCGCAAACGCTGCCAGCATTTGCTGCATCACGGCCATCGCGTCCATGGGTTGCATTGGCGCTGCAGGCGGCGCGGAGGGTGACCCCGATGGTGTCCATGACACAATAGCAGTGCTCGGCTGATGCGGTGGGGCGGCAGCCCGCAAGCCCGCGTTGGTCAGCCTGAGAGGCGCGCGAGCCTTGATGGCGTTGAGACCCGCAGGCCGCTTCAGCGGCGCACGCGTAGCATGAAACCTATCATGCTCTATGCGAGGTGGACCTAAAGGACCGAGCTCACCGAAGCACCCAAGACATCCAGAACAATCAGCGCTGCAGCGCATGACGGGGTGGCAGCAGCCTCGTAGATGCGATGCCACGTTGGCGAGGTCGCGCGTCACATCGATCGGCGGGTCCGCATCGGTGTACGCCGCGTCGAAGATGTGCTGAGGGAGCTGCCGAGGATCTGCTGGGAAATTCCAAGTCACTGTCGCCGCTTGCCCCGTCGCGCCCCTGCGGCTCGCCAAGAACTGACCCTGTAAAGGGCGACTCGTCGGGAAACCCTAACGCTGACGCGCCGCATCGCATTGGCTGCAGTCAGTGCGATGCGATGCGTCTGCGTTAGGCGTTCCCGCCGAATCCCAAACCTTCATCTCCGTCACGATCCCGTAGAGCTGCCCAGGGTTTGCGTCTGGAAGATGGGCGCATGCCATCAACGCCGCCAACTCTTTCAGCGTGTTCTCGCTCGGAACCGTCAAGCCGATGGCGCCGCGACGTTTGATCAACGCGCGCACCTTCGCGACGATGCTCTGGCTGGGGTCGCGAAATAAACCCCAGTCCTGCATGGTAAAGCCCACCAGCCTACGAATCGACGCAGGCATGCTGTAGCATGCTAACATAAGTACATTTGAAAAATGAACATGGTAACATACATGAAGTACAGAACAAACAATTAAACCATACATGTGAATAACACTTCGGCGGTCCGATGTGCAAAACACGATGGATAGCACCGCCCTGGCGCGAGCGTCTGCACGCGCATCTGGAGCGCGGGCGTCGCCGTGCCCACGCGCGCGGCCAGCACGGCGCTGAGGCGCGCCTTGTGGCTGTCCGCGAAGCCCGACGCGGTGATTCGATTCTGCAGGGTAGCTGCTTGGGCAGCCCCGATCGTCCCCAAGTTGTGAAGCTGCAGCTGCACGCTCATGGACAAGGCGGACTGGCTCTGCGCCATCGCGTCGGCGGCGATGACGCCGATCTGCGATGCGAAGAAGGCGTCGCAGCTGTCCAGGTTATCCAGGATGTGGTTGATGGGTGTGGCCGCAGCCGCGGCAGACATGATGCCCTCCGCGAGGGCGAGGGGGCGCGCGGACGCTCCGAGGGGAAGCGCGAGGGAGGGCCTCCCACACTGCGAGAGCTGAAGCACTCGGCTGCTGAGGTGGAAGAGAGGCCACAACAGTACAGATGCGCTGCAGCGCAACGATCGCATGCAATTAAGGAACACACGTGAGCGCTGCAGCGCTCAGCAGAAATCATCGTCACAAAGTAACATGAAGCGCTGCAGCGCTATGCATGCGCACCATGATGGAACGCATGGTAGTGGGCAATAGGGAGAGAGATATAGAGTGATGGAAAGGAGAGGAGGGAGATAATGAGGGACACGGGGGGGGGGGGGGGGCGGGGGGAGATGCGAGGAGACACGGGAGGGAAGGACACGAGCGCGGGCGGGCGGGCGGGCAGGACACGGGGGGAGATGCATGATCATTTGAGGAACACGGAAGGGACGGTGCGAAAGACACGGAGGGGTGGGAGGGACATGGGAGAAACACGGGGGGGGGGGGCACGGAAGAGACACGGGAGGGACACGGGAGTTCGGGGGCGAGCGGGCGGACGGACGCGGGAGCGGTGCGGAGGGACACGGGCGGGAGCGCACGGAAGGCAGGTGGAGACACGGAAGGGGCACGGGAGAGACGCGGGAGAGACACGGGAGACGGATAGGTATACACGGGAGCTCGGGAGCGGGCGGGCGGGCAGACACAGGAGGGACACGGAAGGTGTCCGAGGAGGGCGCGGGACGGATTCAGGAGATGCGCGAAGTGTGATCAGGAGCAAATACCGAAGCGATCTGGGAGCCTCGAAGGCAGCTGGGACATCGACAGAGGCGTGTCTGTTCAATAGAGGGGGCTATTGAACAGACACGGGCGTGGCTGTTCAATAGAGGGGGCTATTGAACATGGCATGTTCAATAGAGGGGGCTATTGAACAGACACGGGCGTGGCTGTTCAATAGAGGGGGCCATTGAACAGACACGCCGCTGTCAGACAGCATCACCTCTGCAGAGGGGCACCGACGCTCTCAGATCGCTTCACCCGAAGCTCCCGTTCGACCTCAGATCAGCCATCCTGATGCCAACATCCAGCACTCCAGCCCACCCCAACGCCCACCCACGCAGTCCCAGAACACTGTCCACACTGCTGATTTCGAGGTGGGAGTGAAACTAAGAGAGGCGCGAAGTACATCACGCGGCGCTGCTGCAGCAGCGTCGCGACGAGGTTGACGATGCCGAAACCGCTGTCAACTGCAAAGGTTTACGCTCACGGCTCTGCTGCAGCAGCGTCGC